AAGCTTGTGTGGATTTGGACAGGCCTGAAATAGGAATCCGCTTGCCATAGTGGGAGCCATGAGCAGTTACCCCAGGCGATCTTGAGGAGAAACACTGAACCTTTTTGTCTTTATAAAAACCGAACCCGTGCTCTTATTAAAAGCTGAGTTGAATTTGTATCCTTACTAATTATAAAGGTTCCAACCAAACTCATTTTTTGGCCTTTGGACTCAGGGAAAGAAATTTTCAAGGTTCAGCAATGTTTGTTTGTTTTTTGTGTGTATATGTTTCTATATTTATTCTCTTCAAATTAGTCAAGAAGCAAACAGTATTACTTATTAAACACCTTTGTGAAACAGCATAGTATAAGAAATATGCTAAATGACTTGCTTAATTTACTAATCTCATAGATATTTAAAAACACACACAAATGTGCCATGTCATGATACCATCTCTATTTTATTTGGGGCAGCCTGCTTTGGATATTAACAAGAGAAAAAAGGAAGATCTTTATTAGCATCTTAAGGAACAGAAATCAATCAACTTCTTAGTATTTTTTTTTCCTAAACCAGTGCCAAAAGAGCTTGTTCATCTGCTTCTTATCTGCCTAAGAACTGACTGGTGCCATACAAAACAGTCAAGAAGAGGTAGGCCCAGAGAGAGGAAATGTTATACTTGTGCATGTATCCTTTCTTTCCTAAACCAGTCATCAAACCGTTATTTGACCAGCACATACTAGGTTTGAAGAAAGAGGGGGATGTAAAGAGAAAAACTAAAGGTGAAACATTAATGGCAAAGGAGTTTACGTGAGGGTCACAGTGTTCTTACAGAAAGAAGCTGTTCTGTACCGTGTGTGCAACAAAGAGGTTCTTTGCAGGCTGGATCCAATGTATCAGGTTCCTTACGGGTACGGTAAGACAGAAAAGCACTGAGTTCTATTTTGGGAGCAGATTAAGTGAGAGCAATGATACTTAGATCATTTCTGAAACTGGCACATGGATTCCTCATCAAATTCTACATGGGAATATGAGAAGCAAGCTCTGCATGTGACAGTCACAGAGAGTATAACCTTCCTGAAGGAGGCCTCCTCTTAAAATGAAGAAGTTTAATTCCGTGTTCATAGATTATTCCCGTTAGGTTTAGGTGAGGATTAAGGATAAGGAATCAGCTCTCTTGTAGAATCTAGCCCAGGGGTGGGCAACCTTTTTGTGAGTGTGTGCCAAAACCAGCAAAATCTCTGACTCAAAATTCTTCTGTGTGCCAACCCTAATTTTTTGAGAACATGTTACGCCTACTTGAAATCTCTTAAGGTGTACGTATGTGAAGAACCTTGAATAAATAATAAAATTCATTCAAGCGACAAAAACACAGTATATGATGATGAAAAATACATTTATTTTTTAATGTATACATGGACACTGATAGTCCAACAGAAAA